CAATGCTACTGATGCGCTGGCCCCAATCTGGCTCCATTACCATCAAGGTATACTGTTGTATGGTCCCTGTGCCAACCAGTAGGTCAGTAGACCTGTTCCTCATGGAGCTGCGCGCTCAGACGGGTTGGGTCCGAGTGGGGCAAGAGGCTTGGTCTGGCTGACAATGCTACTGATGCTCTGGGCCAAATCTGGCTCCATTACCATCGAGGTATACTATTATATGGTCCCTGTGCCAAGCAGTAGGTCAGTAGCCCTGTTCCTCATGGAGCTGTGCGCGCAGACGGGTTGGGTCCGAGTGGGGCCAAGAGGCTTGGTCTGGCTGACAATGCTACTGATGCGCTGGCCCAACTCTGGCTCCATTACCATCAAGGTGTACTATCGTATGGTCCCTGTGCCAAGCAGTAGGTCAGTAGCCCTGTTCCTCATGGAGCTGTGCGCGCAGACGCGTTGGGTCCGAGTGGGGTCGAGAGGCTTGGTCTGGCTGACAATGCTCCTGATGTGCTGGCCCAACTCTGGCTCCATTACCATCAAGGTATACTGCTGTAGGGTCCCTGTGCCAAGCAGTAGGTCAGCAGCCCTGTTCCTCATGGAGCTGTGCGTGCAGACAGGTTGGGTCCGAGTGGGGTCGAGAGGCTTGGTCTGGCTGACAATGCTCCTGATGTGCTGGCCCAACTCTGGCTCCATTACCATCAAGGTATACTGCTGTAGGGTCCCTGTGCCAAGCAGTAGGTCAGCAGCCCTGTTCCTCATGGAGCTGTGCGTGCAGACAGGTTGGGTCCGAGTGGGGGTCGAGAGGCTTGGTCTGGCTGACAATGCTACTGATGCGCTGGCCCAAATCTGGCTCCATTACCATCAAGGTATACTGCTGTATGGTCCCTGTGCCAAGCAGTAGGTCAGTAGCCCTGTTCCTCATGGAGCTGTGCGCGCAGACGCGTTGGGTTCGAGTGGGGTCGAGAGGCTTGGTCTGGCTGACAATGCTACTGATGCGCTGGCCCAAATCTTGCTCCATTCCCATCAAGGTATACTATTATAGGGTCCCTGTGCCAAGCAGTAGGTCAGTAGTAGCCCTGTTCCTCATGGAGCTGTGCGCGCAGACGCGTTGGGTCCGAGGGGGGCCGACAGGCTTGGTCTGGCTGACAATGCTACTGATGCGCTGGCCCAAATCTGGCTCCATTACCATCAAGGTATACTATTATAGGGTCCCTGTGCCAACCAGTAGGTCAGTAGCCCTGTTCCTCATGGAGCTGTGCGCGCAGACGGGTTGGGTTTGAGGGGGGCCGACAGGCTTGGTCTGGCTGACAATGCTACTGATGCGCTGGCCCAACTCTGGCTCCATTACCATCAAGGTATACTATTATAGGGTCCCTGTGCCAACCAGTAGGTCAGGAGGCCTGTTCCTCATGGAGCTGTGCGCGCAGACGGGTTGGGTCCGAGTAGGGCCCAGAGGCTTGGTCTGGCTGACAATGCTACTGATGCGCTGGCCCAAATCTGGCTCCATTACCATCAAGGTATACTATTATAGGGTCCCTGTGCCAACCAGTAGGTCAGTAGCCCTGTTCCTCATGGAGCTGTGCGCGCAGACGGGTTGGGTCCGAGTGGGGCCAAGAGGCTTGGTCTGGCTGACAATGCTACTGATGCGCTGGCCCAAATCTGGCTCCATTACCATCAAGGTATACTATTGTATGGTCCCTGCGCCAAGTGGTAGGTCAGCAGCCCTGTTCCTCATGGAGCTGTGCGCGCAGACGGGTCGGGTCCGAGTGGGGCCAAGAGGCTTGGTCTGGCTGACAATGCTACTGATGCGCTGGCCCAAATCTGGCTCCATTCCCATCAAGGTATACTATTATAGGGTCCCTGTGCCAAGCAGTAGGTCAGGAGGCCTGTTCCTCATGGAGCTGTGCGCGCAGACGGGTTGGGTCCGAGTGGGGCCAACAGGCTTGGTCTGGCTGACAATGCTACTGATGCGCTGGCCCAAATCTGGCTCCATTACCATCAAGGTATACGATTATATGGTCCCTGTGCCAAGCAGTAGGTCAGTAGCCCTGTTCCTCATGGAGCTGTGCGCGCAGACGGGTTGGGTCCGAGTGGGGCCCAGAGGCTTGGTCTGGCTGACAATGCTACTGATGCGCTGGCCCATATCTGGCTCCATTACCATCAAGGTGTACTATCGTATGGTCCCTGTGCCAAGCGGTAGGTCAGGAGGCCTGTTCCTCATGGAGCTGTGCGCGCAGACGGGTTGGGTTTGAGGGGGGCCGACAGGCTTGGTCTGGCTGACAATGCTACTGATGCGCTGGCCCCAATCTGGCTCCATTACCATCAAGGTATACTGCTGTATGGTCCCTGTGCCAAGCAGTAGGTCAGTAGCCCTGTTCCTCATGGAGCTGTGCGTGCAGACGGGTTGGGTCCGAGTGGGGCCAAGAGGCTTGGTCTGGCTGACCATGCTACTGATGCGCTGGCCCTAATGTGGCTCCATTACCATCAAGGTATACGATTATATGGTCCCTGTGCCAAGCAGTAGGTCAGTAGCCCTGTTCCTCATGGAGCTGTGCGCGCAGACGGGTTGGGTTCGAGGGGGGCCGACAGGCTTGGTCTGGCTGACAATGCTACTGATGCGCTGGCCCCAATCTGGCTCCATTACCATCAAGGTATACTGCTGTATGGTCCCTGTGCCAAGCAGTAGGTCAGTAGCCCTGTTCCTCATGGAGCTGTGCGTGCAGACGGGTTGGGTCTGAGTGGGGCCGAGTGGGGCCAGGAGGCTTGGTCTGGCTGATGATGCTACTGATGCGCTGGCCCAACTCTGGCTCCATTACCATCAAGGTATACTATTATAGGGTCCCTGTGCCAACCAGTAGGTCAGTAGCCCTGTTCTCATGGGAGCGTCCGCGCAGACGGGTCGGATCCGAGTAGGGCCAAGAGGCTTGGTCTGGCTGACAATGCTACTGATGCGCTGGCCCAATCCGGCTCCATTACCATCAAGGTATACTATTATAGGGTCCCTGTGCCCAACCAGTAGGTCAGGAGGCCTGTTCCTCATGGAGCTGTGCGCGCAGACGGGTGGGTCCGAGTAGGGCCGAGAGGCTTGGTCTGGCTGACAATGCTACTGATGCGCTGGCCCCAAATCTGGCTCCATTACCATCAAGGTATACTATTGTATGGTCCCTGCGCCAAAGTGGTAGGTCAGGAGCCCTGTTCCTCATGGAGCTGTGCGTGCAGACGGGTTGGGTGCGAGTGGGGCCAAGAGGCTTGGTCTGGCTGACAATGCTACTGATGCGCTGGCCCAAATCTGGCTCCATTACCATCAAGGTATACTGCTGTATGGTCCCTGTGCCAAGCAGTAGGTCAGTAGCCCTGTTCCTCATGGAGCTGTGCGCGCAG